ATTTTATTTAGTTTGAAATTCTTTTTCGTATCTTTATTAGAATTTTAGTACTTTTAAGTCTTTATTTAGGTTTAGGATTACTATTTGATTAGGATTTATCTTGGCTATTATAAATAGGTGATCTTAAATAGAAGATTATTATTATCTTCTTTTGTTATTTTTGAATATTTATTCAAGATGTTTCTTTTAAAACCCAATTATCTTTCTGTTGTTCCAACACAATCAACCTTATTCTAGCCCTAATTGTTGAGTTCTAATTGCCCTAAACCCTTTGATTACATCATTTATCCATAAACTGAGAAAGTGTTTGAACAGCATAAGAGATATTTGGCCTTGTGAAGGTTAAGGACAATAGCTTCCCAATGAGTTGTCGATAAACAGCAGCATTTGTTAACTTTTCTTCATTAGTTGCCTTTTCTAGTTTATGATTATAGTCTATAGGTGTTGACACTGGCTTTGCACCCAGAAAATCATGCTCATCCAACATATCTAAAACATATTTCCTTTGACAGATTAAAATCCCTTCCACTGATCTGGCCACTTCTAATCGTAGTAAATATATTACTTCTCCAAGGTCCTTAAATTTGAAGTGAGAACTCAGGTATTCTTTAACATTGTTTGCTAACTGAGAAGAGCTTGTGCCAATGACTATATCATCAACATAAAGAAGAAGGCTATGAATTCACCATTTTCTGTATTCATGGTAAACAATGAATAATCTGATAAAGACTGTTTAAAACCATATTGTATCAAGGCTACTGTAAACTTTACATTCCACTGTCTTGAAGCTTGTTTTAAACCATACAAAGATCTATGTAGTCTGCACACAAGCTTAGTATTAGGTGGATACTTCCCTTGGATTTGATAACCCTGCGGTAAGGATATATACACTTCTTCATCAAGATCACCATTGAGAAAAGCATTATTGATATATAGCTGAGTGAAACACCATCCTTTAACAGTTGCTACGGCTAGAAAAACTTTGACAGTAGATTGCCTTGCACCAAGACTAAATGTTTCCTAATAATCAAAACCCTCAACTTGACTATAACCCCTGGCAACCAAGCAAGCCTTGAACCTTTCTACAGTACCATCTGCTTTCATTTTAGTCTTATAGACCCATTTACAGCCAATGGCATGAGAATCAGTAGGTACAAGAACTATGCTCCATGTGCCATTATTCTCTAGAGCTGCTAGTTCCGCAGCCATAGCCTCTCTCCAATGAGCATGTTTAATACCTTGATGATAAGCGCTAGGTTCATGAATATGTGACAATGAGGAAGTAAAAGCTTTATGTGCAGGAGATAACTGAGTAATAGATAAGGAATGAGTAATTGAATGTGAAGTGATAGATTGGAAGAGCTAGGAATATCAACATCATAAGCTTCAAGATATTTAGGTAGTTTTCTATGTCTGTCACTTCTCCTAGGTGGAATAGATGTAACAAGAATGGAAGTATTGTCAGCAAGGCTTGAATCGAAAAAGTCAACTACAACATCAACAATTCTGCTAGAAACAGACTATTTATTAGACTTTAGAACAGAATCAATTGAATTGGATGTTCTTGAGTTATCTGAGGAATTAGAAGATTGAAGTGAAGGTGTAGAAACAAATGGAGTTGTAAAGGATGGAAATGAAGTAGGTTCAGCATCCAAAAAATCAAAATCTATGTCATGCACATGAGATGTTTGATAAAATGCATGATCATTGGAATTGGTACCAAATGATTGAAATGGAAACACACGTTCATGAAAAACGACATTCCTAGATATTAGAACCTTGATGGCAAGAAGATCATAAACCTTATAACCTTTGACACCATTAAGATAGCCTAAAAATATACATTTACTAGCCCTTGTATCAAATTTCTTTCTATGTTGACTAAGAGAGGAAACAAAACATAAGCTGCCAAAAACTCTAAGATGAGGATAAGAAGGACGTTTCCTATAAAGAAGCTCATATGGAGTGAAATTATTGAGAATTCTGATTAGCATTCTATTAATAATATGGATGGCAGTAAGAATAGCATGTCCCTAAAAATGGAAAGGAACATGAGACTGACGTAGTCAAGCTCTAGCTACTACTAAAATGTGCTGATGCTTCCTTTCAACCCTACCATTTTGTTGAGGAGTTTCAACACAAGTTAGATGATGAACAGTAACTGTCCTAGCATAGAATTCAATAAGATCAAACTCTTTACCACTGTCTGTCCTTAAAACTTTGATACAAGTAGTAAACTGAGTTTTGACAAAATTATAGAAGTTAGAAATGATGGTTGAAACTTTTGACTTACATTTCATCAAAAACACCCATGTAAAACGTGTAAAATCATCCACAAGAGTAAGAAAATACATTTGATTAGAAACAGTAGGTATCTCATAAAGACCCCATATATCAACATGTACAATTTCAAAAGGATTAACAGTGTCTTGTACATGAACAGGAAATGGAATTTTTCTTTGTTTAGCCATAGGACAAACTTCACAAATCAAATTTCTTGAACTTTGAACTTCTGAACGGTGCTCATGAGTTACCTTTATTCTTTCTGAAGGTGTATGACCGAATCTTAAATGCCACAAATCAAAGTTGGGAGGTGTAAATATGCTACTGAAAATTGAAGACATATTGATAGAATCAATGATTTTGTTGAAACTATATTTGGATAGATCTTGCTCATCGTCATAAATTGCATGAAGAATAAGCTTGCAGTGACTGTAGCTACCCCAGTCACCTTGCATGAATTCAAATCCTAAACAACACATATTTCATTAGTAAATCAAACACAATTTGTCTTTAAACTGGTACGTTTACTCACAAAAAGGAGGTTAAACTTGAAGCTGGGAACACATTATACATTATTCAAGATAAGAGATGAAGTAAGTTCGACAGTCCCAATATGAGAAGCTAAAGCTTTGGCCTTATTTGGAAGTTGCACAAAACAATTAGGTGGTGTTTGATGCTTTACAATACAATATGATTACAGATAATGTGATTATAAATAATGTGATTGCAGGAAAAATAACATTACAGTGTTTGGTATATAAGCAAAACAATGATTAAAATGCAGGGAAGATAACATTGCAACGTTTGGTTTATAAGTACTTTCCTGGGAATGTAATGTTAACTTTCAAAATTACCCTTAGTTATTAAAATACAAGTTCAATATGTTTATATTTTTTATTATTAATTTTTATACAATATCATCTCTTAAGTATATTTTTAATGTCATACATTTTATTTTCATTTATTATTTTAATTTTATATATTTTATTTTCATTT